CCTCTCTTCAGTGCCTGCTTGGTGGCACAGTTTTACTGAGGTGGCCATTGGGCTTTTGCTTGAGCCTAAATCTTCCCTCGATTCTCCTCTGGCAGGGGCAGCCCTTCAGTGATGAATCCTAAAAGAGAGCTAAGTTCCATTGGAGCTAGCCAGTGCTGGACCTGGGCCCTAGGAAGGTTCCTTGCTGCTCCAGCTCATCTTTAGAGTATTTATTTACAACTGCATCATGAACAATTGAAAATACAGGCTGCTGGCAGAGAAAAAAGCAGGACATTAGTCTGAGCAGTGTGAGCTGTGAGGCAGCAGCTCTAGATATACAAATACCCATTTGCAAAATGAGTCCCTAAGCCCAGGAGAAACAGAGACCAAACAGATAATTGTTATTATCCTTGTTACCTCACCCTCTGTCTGTGAGGACAGCTATGTTTTATTCATTGAAAACACAGACAATTATGTTTCTGGTCTTGCCTCTTTGAGTGCCTCCTACCCTGCTTCTCTGAGCAGTGGCTCTTTCTAGGATCTGGCATACCAGCTGGGTCTGCCAGTGTGGGAGCAGTTCCTCTTCTTCACTGTTGCAGGTTTTTTCAGCCAGCTCCTCTGCACTGTTGTGTCCCATCCTGTGAGGAGAGCAGTCGGACGAACTGAGATTTCCAACTTGGGGAAGTCTTTTATTGTCCCAACCTGCTAAGAAGGAGAACCAGGCCTCAGAGATGGGGATGGCTATGGGGGTTTTACTGTCTGGAGGCATCAGATTTGGATTTGCCTTCCACCAACCCAAATCTGGAGAATCTCCGTTGCTATCTGAGAGGCTCTGCAGGAATAATGCTCCTGGCAAGCTGGCAGCCCTTCAGGACTGTACAATTCACTGAACAGACCAGAGCAGGTTGCACCGAAATCTGCACCAGACATTAAACCTAAACCAGGACCAAGCACAGCAAACCTCTAGGAAGGGTAAGATAAACATCCTTTGCACTTGGGACTGTGAGATCCTAATGCATTTGGCTTCAGTCAGGTATGATCAGCGTTGTTACTCACAAAAGGGAGAGCCAGGGTACACAGTTTGCTGACCCTTCTTCTTTAGGCTGGATCTATGACCTGTTGAAATTCAGGGAATCTTCTCCTGTCCCTCAATAGGCTTTGCAGTTGATCCTGTGTGTTGCATTCTGCTAACTTGGCAGCAACAGAGTTTAACCCAGTTGAAGGTCTGTGGAAAGCAGATTTCAAAACCCATGGTGTCATCCCTGTATGAAAGCAGTCTGAGTGTCTCAGAAGAGGAAAAACCTGTGCCAGGTGTGACTCTACTGTCACTTAGCCTGAGAACAGTGAATTATGAACAGCACTTTGAGCTCTGGACAACTGCATTCAAGAAACATAACATCAAAATTTGAACCCTGTCAGCAGGGTGGGGGGAAGATTTACAACAGTGATGGAACGTAGCAGCAGTAAGAGCCCATCAGAGCAATGGGGCGTGGGATTTTTGAGCATTAGTTGTGGCTTCTCTGGAGCCATGGCAAGTAGAGTGAAGGGTCCATAATCACAACTTGTAGATATAAACGTACAGCAGCGCCCTGCTCTTGCCTAAAGAAGAGGGGTCACCATGGCATTGCTCGTTGTCCATTTTGATGGGCTCAGCGTGTTACTTGCCAGTTATTTCTTTCCTCCTGGAAACAAATTTGATCTGTACCACCTTTGTTGTCCTTGAAATATTAAGTAGTTTGTGTCCAACAGAGCTGAGCTCTTAACTTCAGAGGGTTCCACTTGGCTTGCTGCCCAGCCTGGTGAATCCCCAGAGAAGATATTTAAAGGCTGCCTGAAAGAAAACAGCTTTAATGACACAATAAATAAGTACACCCACCTCATGAGGAAATGGCATTGCTCTTGGAAAGGTGACATCCATACGGAGTTCACCAGCTGGATTATTTTCAGGGATGACCTCTTCAGGCTTGTACCAATTGCTGATGGTTTAAAAACACTTGAGGTATTGAATTTTTTTTTTAATTTCTCTCCTCCCAATTTAAGGATGTGATGACTGATGTGGAAGGAAAAAAACAAAGGCAAAAAGGAAAGGAAGAAAAGAAAAACAACAAGAAAAAGAGAGTGCATAAAAGGTAATAGCAATATTTTTCATGTAGTCAAGATCAACTTTAAGCAAGTCCCAAGTAGCTGGAAAGAAGCACTTTAAAATGTGAAATCTGCAAGCAACAGGTGCTGGGTCTCCAGCACCATTTTTTCTGTCTGTCTCTCCACCAGGCTAGTGGACCAGTGTGGGAGAAGAGACCTGATAACAAGGCTTTCTAGCCCTGGTGTCAGGGAGACTAAGGAAGAAAAGTGGACTTTGCTGGTTACAGCTGATGTGATCTGTGTCTTTTCTCTTCCCCTCAGTTCCCTCCTAAATGTTTAAAGGAAGGAGTTATTCCTTTTCAGTGTTGCCACCAGCCACAGAAACGGATGTTCAAGGCAAACATCCTCAGCTGCAGGAACCAACAGTGAAGCGCTCAAACTGACAGCCTGTCTTTCATGGTTGCTGGGTACTGAGCACATCACCTTTAACACACACTACTGCCTGGAGCCAAATTTTCCCCAGGTTTTGTAATAAACTCAGATTTAACATTTTTACTTATGTCACTTTTATAGCTTCAGCTGAGATATGAAGTTGAAGAATCAGACTCACTGCAGTGGTGTAGAACCCTAATCACCTAGATTTTGAATCTATGCCATGGGAACATAGATGTCTGAATCACTTCTGCAAGTACAATAATGGACCTCAGGTAGTGCACGTCTGCAACCCTTTACCTGGAAAGAGGAGTGCTGGAGCAATACAGCCTTCCACACTGCCTGTGGAAGCCCAGCCACACTCATGTTAAAGCACAGGTAAGGTCTAACTAGCCTCAGACAGGAATTTTGTACACCCATTCCAGCTGTATGCCAATTCCTGCAAGTGTATACAAATACCCTGGAGGACATTTTTGCATCATGCTCTGACTTTTTTAGATAGCAGCTGCTCCTTTTTATTATTTATAGAGACAAGCTCTATTCTTGAGTGTTGTGGATTGGTTTTGCCTCTTACAAGCTTGCCAAATGCTTCCCATTCCAGGAGACTGATTTGAGGTATTTATCAGTTTTTCCAATACTTCACCTTTTGGGCTGAAAGTTTACATTCCTGGGGGTTGCCCCAGACTGAATTTTTGCTGAAACAGGTTAACCATATCTGAGAAGACTAGAGACTAATGGCTCTGTTGACAAAAGGTGACGGCATATACTTCAACAAGTCCAAGTGCTCTTCTGGTTTGGAGCAAGGACTTAAAACACTCAAAAAATGAGGAAGTAAAGCAGCAACTACCTGCAAAACATATGGATGGCATGAGGTGCTGAGCAGGAAGAACTCCATTACCCAAGGCAGCACTCAGTCAATCAGAACCACAAGCTCCCTTCTCTTTGCTAGATCTCCTCCTGCTTCCATCCTTGTTAACATTCAACATGTTAAGTAACCTGGGGAAAAAAAAACACCGGCAAAGGAATCACAAATGCTGAGTGTCATGTAAGCATTAGCGTTTGCATAAGTTGGAAGACTGTTTTATTTGAAACAAAGCCAACATAAGCCCTTCTTTCTTAGTCTTCACTCTCATCCTCACCCTTGTACCACACCTCCAGGCTTGGCACAGAAGTGATCTGGGCTAGAAATAATCATTAACTCCTGCTGAGGTATTTTCCATCCACCAGGTCCTCCACCCTGTTGGCCATCCAGCATCGTGCTCCCACAGTTGCAGGGCACATGGAGGAGACACAGGCTGATATCTCCAATACATTCGGCCAGCCCTGCATGACCACTCTGCCATGGGAGCCTGCAATGCCACTCTGTGTTTGACTCCCTGTCGGAGCAGCAGAGAGTTACTGAGGATGCCCAAAAAATGTACCCCTAGGTTCTCCTACTTGCAACAAACAGGCTGCACAGAAACCACAGCAGCTGCCGAGGGAAGGTTTTGTTCTTCCTGTATTACCGTACAGAGGCAATATAAATTCTATTGTTTGCTAACTTTTGGGTACTTGGCTTTTCAACTTTAATATTGTGTCTGGGTATAATTATAGTTTGGATGTTAATTCTGTGAAAGTCTCACTCTGAGCACTGCTTAGACATTAAAAAAGACAGTTCAAAGAGGTTGGAGGACAAATGGAGAACACAGGCAGAGAACAAAAGGCATAGGCTGCATGAGGCAGACCACAGTGTATATCCGCTAGTGGCTGTGCACCCAGGACTAGGACCTATGTCCTTGCTCAGTTCAGGCTGTCTTGCTCAGAGCAGAGACTCACAAAGCCTCTGTGGAGACCCTGTTTGACTGCCCCCACTCCTGTGCCAGGGAGTTTTTCCCCACATGTTTGGGACTGTCCCTTCACCCCGGCAGTCCCCCACAACTCAAGAGAGGCAAAGAAGATTGTCAGAAATCCAGACTAGAAACCCAGGCATCCTTCCACCCCTTGCTTCATAAAGGAGCCACCTGTGCACAACACTGACTTCTGCACCTTGTAGAGCAACTCTGCTAAGTTTAGTGAAGTGAGGCCATGATAGGCCAGAGAAAAGCTCACAGCTGGGTCCTCAGCTTCACTGTGACCAGTGTCTGCAGGACCTGAGGGCAGCATTTTTTAATAAAGCAAACCCCACTGGCTGCTCTTTCCACATTGGATTTGCTGTCTTGCTCCATGTTGTTTGCTGCAGAGCTGTGAGGAAGTCTGAAAGTGGTATACCTGTTGTTGTTGGCTTCCTTCAGCTAAGGGTGCTCCCACTGACTTGTCCACACAGGTTTTTTCTGCTCTGGTTTTCTTATGGAAAAGAAAATACAAGACTGTATTTGAATGTTTGTTTTGAGAACAAACACAAAGAGTTATGCAGGCTTTGCAAGCAGAGCTGACAGAACAGGTAGGTCCTGTGATGAAAGCCTGTGGGTCACAGTGGCATTCCCTGAAGAACACCACAGAACAGGTTTTGTTTGGCCCAGAAAAAAACCCAGCACATCACTGTTCCAGATCACTGCCCCCATCAGGACAAAGGCCTTGACACGAAGAGGACTGACAGTCTGGGATGCTACCTACTGCAGCAGCTGTATTATTAACAAAGACAATGTAAGAGAAAGCTGCACCTCCAGCTCACACTGTGGATGCCTTGGCATCAACAGAGCAAGGGATCTGCTGCTGAGGGCCCATCTTACTGTGACCTGAGGGTCACTCTGTGAAAAGGTCCTTCCATACAGATCCAGTCACACTAGTCATCCTTCCACTTGGCTGCCTTCTTTCCCTGCTCACATGCTGTTATTACCATTAGAGAGCTGCCGTCTCAGGTGAATGTTTGTCATGAGACACTTGAGTGAATCCACAATCATTTTAGATTGATTGGAGATGGTCTTTTGGGGGCAGGGGGTTTGCAAGTAACACTATCTGCTAAGCACTCAGCTCCAGCTCAGCAGTGCGTAGTATACAGGCATGCACAGGTACAAGAGACAGCTTTATTGATGGAAGCAGTGATGTTCAGGACATGCATCCCTTGCTTCCTTCTTATTCCCAGCTGCTTTCTGTTGCTTTGTTTTTTTTCCTGTGCAAGAGCTAACAACTCATCTGAAGAATATAGCTTATCCCAACGGCTGTGTCAAAAGGCTGCCCTAACTCTGATGTGAAGTTTGAATTTACAGAATCCTCCTTGGAAAGGAAAATAGGATTTTACAGCAAAGGAATCTTAAGAATACAAAAACTGATGCAGTTTCAGGTTGGATTCACCCAGTTCAGCATGCCATTTCTACCGATGGGAAATAGCAGGTACCTAGGAAAAGAAATGAAACAAGACAAAGGAGAAGGATCCTCCCCTCAGACTGACTTTCTGGTTTCAAGCTTGAATCCATAGAATCTCAGAAAGTCTGGGTTGGGTCCCTGCTCTTGGGGGCCATCTGACCTATGTAAAGCAGGTCCCAGATTGAGCTATCCAGGACCCTGTCAAATCCACTCATATTTCCGTCAAAGGAGAGTCCAGTTCTTCATGCTTCCCTGGTTGGCCCAAACTTCAAGCCTGCCCAGGGCCCTCTGTGTGTTGACTCTTCCTTCTGACCATCTCTACTGTTCTCTTTAGCCACTGCTCATGGGCCATTCTTTCTCCAGTTCATCTGATCTTTTTTGCTGAGCCTGCTTAAACCTTTGCCTTTGCAGCTTCCTCTGACAGTGAGTTCCATGGTTTAAACTGAATGTTGTGAAAAAGAAGGACTTCCTTTACTTCAAATCCTGGTAACCCAATCCTTTAATCTGTGAATAATTTGAGAACTCCCGTGTGCTAGGTTTTAACAACAGTTCTGATGCTGGCACATAATTCAGCATAATTTATCAACTTACTATTACAACCTAAAAACTGAAAATCTCCATAACTCAGCCTGCTATCTCAGTGTACCTGAGGTCTGCAAGGAAACCTCTGCTGTATTTTCACCCTTGAAGCTCATACTCAATTGATTTGATATTTCATATGCTTGCTGCCAGAATTCTAGTCTACAAGCAGTTAGAGGAGTGCAAACTAATACACGAAAAAGCAAGGAGGATTAGGAGGGATGAAGAAAAGGGGCTATGCAGTCCAAATGCAGGCATTAAGAACATCCTCAACCTCACAAAGTCTTCAATGCAGGACAGAGAAAGAGCAGATCTCATTGGTTTTATAAGGAAGTAGATGAGACTATAAATGTCATGGCTGCTGGGACCCTATTTCTAGCAATGCCTCCATGCTTATCTAGTGGGGTTTAGTTTTGATTTTAATCGTGCTTTTCCAGAGGTTGCTTACTGATAGGGGAATAGTAATGGCACATGAGTAAAACTGAAGCAAAGAAATTCACAAAGAGTCTATTGAATTATCAACTCTTTGATTGTTTTGCCAAGCCAGAGGTACTTGCTCACCATTTCTTTCCTTTGCTTTTCCTGCTTAACCAGCTCATCCTCAAGTAAATCATCGGATGGCTTATTCAAATCATCAGATGGCTTATTCAAGACCTCAGCCGTAATGGTTGAGGTGACCCCTTATGTTTTCTCCTTCCTCCCCAGCATGTAAGAAAAGGCATTTCCACAGAAGCATGTTGGATTTGATCCTGCTCTCACTATTTGACATGAGTCACAGTACTGCTTTCTCCAGTGAAAGTAAGCCTGTGAAATTATCATCTTTGAAGGTGAGCACAGCTGAATGCTGTACCTTTTCTTCAAACCAGCTTAGCTGGACATCTCTGTCTCACTGTATGACAGTGAACTTCCATCCTGGCACATGATGACCTTTATTCATTCAACCCTGAGCAAAGGCTGCAGCCTGGGCTTTTGCCAGAGCTCTGCCAGAGGGCTAAACAAAGATGTAAAAGGCAACACAAAGCCTGCTTTCACTGGGTTGTCTGCTAGTTTTGATCCCCATTGTTAATGAATATCAAAAGAAGGGTGTGATTTTGCAAGGAAGGGGGTTCTGGTCATAAAAGCATAGCTGAGTGCTGTGTGTGGGATGAGAGTCTCAAAATGAAAAAGAGATTGGGATGCATAAATCCTATTGATTTTCAGAGGAGACATATGTCTAGCTCTTTTCATTTTTTAACCAAATTTCCTCCTTTGGAGGATATGAAATGTATGTGGCATTTTCTCTTGAGCAGCAGAAAACTCAGGCTACATATGAAATATACAAAGGAAAAACTTCTTCTTAACTTTTCTCTAGATGAGGGTTTTGTCTCACTCTTGATAGCAGTATTTTTACCCCATGTGGCCCCTTCTGCCTCACCCATGGTCAGCAGCCCTCCTGTGGGAAGCTTTGCAGGCACCACTCCACATCTCACCGAGGCTCATAGTAATCAGCCTCTCACTGGGCTTCAGACAGATGCTTCAGCAGAAAGTGTGTCCACTAAATCCCAGCTCATATCCCACGTGTTTCCACGTGCTACCTAACCCTAGATTTGAGCATCAAAGCCAGCCTCTGTTCATACAGGTTCACTAAAATTGATACTTTTGCAGGTATGACTTCCATGGTATTGTAAACACCAGCAGACCCATAGGCAGTGTAAAAGCTCTGGAGAAGATCATTGATCCTATTAGCTTAGCTGCCTTATCTGAGTTTCTGAGAGACCACTAAGCACAGAAGACCCACACTGATCAACATGGAGGTTTGCTTTGGTCCTGTTTATTCTCAACCCAACACAGGCACTCTGAATGCTAAACTCCAAAATCACCTAGGTTTTACCTGAGTCACTAAGCAAACAGCACTGAAGGATGCGTAGGATTTCTGCTAAACCAGAGTGTGAGGCCATCCTGTGAGATGACCTCTTTAATATCGCAGTGTATGGAGCTTCACACAGAGCTCCAGTACCAAGCTCAATAAACAGGGTGTGATCACTCATCTCAGTGCAATAGCCAGGATTCCTGTGTTTCTCAGCCCTCTGTCCTCCTACTTTCCAGCATAATAGGACTTCATTACCAAAACCCCACAGATGGACCCCAGACAAGCAAGCACAACAGTGCGATTGTGAGGGGGAGTGATGACATTTCAACATGCATATTGCATCCACACCAACCAGCACGGGTAGGAAGGGAAAAGTTAAATTAGCCATGTTAGGTGGGGGAGGAAAGCCACATCATAGAAGCAGGGTCTTACTGCAGAAAGGAACTATTTGCCCAAGAAAAGAGTAGAGGCTCCACCGCTTGAGTTTTCTGAGAGGAAATTAGATGAGACGCATAGACAAATACATCTGAAGGGCTCCTGCCTGATTCCAAAGCAGCTAGAGTAGATGGCCCCTCTTTGTTCAGCAGTTGTTTTAAGAGTTTTACTGCTACTGTAGTTAAGCAGGTGAACATCTGTTGTCCATGTGACCCACTATAAAACTTCAACTGTCAGGAGCAGGACACACTGCGCTGTGATCAAGGGACGAAGTTTGCTTATTGTAAAGCCTGTAGACTTTCATTTGCATCTCTCCCTCCCGTTAACAAGCAGCTGAGCATGTGTTAAGAACAGGCTCACTCCAGCCAAACAGCATGTGAGTGCCTGCCTGAACAACTGGCGTTGATTTTCAGACATATATGGGATAAATTATACTTTTTGTTATTATTAAGTAACTGCATTGAGTTCTCACTTAGGGGTGTGGATATGACACAGCTTTTGGTGGGTTTGTATGTAGTCCCACTGATCTGCTGTCTAACTGTGGCCTAGGCACGTTTCTTCATTGCACTTTAGCTTTATGATCCCTAAAATGGCAATAACAATGTTCCATTTTCTTTGTAAAGAACTCTGAGCACAGCTGGGAAAAAGCAAGCCATTATTATAACTAAAGAACACTAATACAGAGTAGCACCACATGTTTCAGCTCTCCTCTTCTGTAGTTAATGATTAGACATCAGTTGGGAGCTTCTCTACAGGATACAGGATTACTCTTTGAGGTGTAAACAATTAAGAAACCAGGGTATGATGTTGGTCAAGACAGTGTGAGCTAGAGGAACCATTCAAGGCTGACTTCCCTTTAACAGGAAGCAGTAATAGGTGATAATCAAAGGGTTAGTGTGATCCTATATAGTGATACTGATAATATGATGAAGCATAGCTCCACCACAGTACTATTAGCATTCAACATTTGTGTTGCAATAGTGCCAAAGACTCTTGACCTATGAAGAGCTTGCTGTGCCAGGCATTGCATAAATGTGTAGCAAACAGTTACTATTTCCCCAAAGAACATCCCATAGCAAAGAGGTCATGAATTGGTGAGAGGAAAAAAACAAAGAGCAGAATGGGAACAGAGGATACAAGGAGCAGGGTGTGTGTAGTTCCTAGCATGCCCTGAAAGGAAACATGGCCTGGAAGAGAGAGCATCCTGCACGGCTCAAAGGGAGGCTGGAATGTCATGTCACCACTAGATAAAGGCTGGTGGCAGCTTCTGAGCTGTAACAACTTAGTGCTGAGTGCTGGATCACCGAGGACTGAAGCACACAACGGAAAATAAAATTCCCTCACTGCTTCCAATTAACAAGCAGCTTCAGTCAATTTCCTGAAAACAGTTGTCTCTAGTTAAAAGCATAAATCTGTGCACGTGAAGCAATCTTGGCTCTAGTAGAACACAGCCTAGCAAGGACTCCTTCTCCCGCCCACCAGGGCTTGCTAGGAATGCTGGTGGGCAGCATCTGCCCTCGTCCATGAGACCTAGGTAAGGTCTGTTCACTGATGGCTCCTGAAGTTCTGTTCCCTGGGGATGGTTCCTGGTTGAGCCCCACACAGAACCATCCCTCTTCCCATGTGGTTTTCAGGCAGATGCCAAAAGCTGAGGCAAAAGCTCATAACATGCCAATTACTCTGTCCTCAAAACCGCAAACGATTGTATACAGCTGTTGGCAAATGAAACCTTGTTCCAAACATTTAATAACTAATTGAATAAAGTTGTAGAGCCCGGCTCTGAGTTAGCCTGTTCTCCTGCCCTTGTGCCATCATTCCAGCCCACTGCCAGACCGTGTGTTCCAGCAAGAGGGATAGGAGGCTTGCCTCATGGCTTTCCGTCATTCATTAAAAAAAAATAAAAAGAGGAGAGTCTGCCACAGACTAAGTTTCAGATCTATGAGTTTTCTGTTGGAGCACTAAGAGGGTTAAATTTAAAGCCGATTTCCTATGTTTTTCCTGCACCAGAATTCAGTTAATGGACAAATAAACTGATTCATAGCAGCTTTTGGTTCTCCAGTAAAGATGTAACAAGTGCTTAATTTAGATGTGGTGAATGGTAATTATGTTTGATGGGAAAAGTGGGCAATTTTTCCTTTCTTTGTCAAATGCCTTGGATAAATTGTTTTTGTGACCTTATCTAGAACACAAAGGTCTAGTCACCACTTAAAATTATAAGGTAATTCATGAAATACACTGCTGGATCAGACAAAGAGACCAAACGTGACCTTGCCAATAATAACTTACACCACAGAGAAGGTCAAAAAAGGTTAGCATTGTCTTTTTTAGAATAACAATATCCTAAATTAAAGGTACAGTGTTTAATTTTAAAGAACCTAGAAATTATATGGTTTACTTCTAAAAAAACAGTACCGTTCTGAAACATGTGTAATGTTTCAAAGGTTATGAGAAACAGATGCCAGTACCCCATCCTTTTTGAATGACATCTGAAGTTATATGCAATTTTCTCCAAATTGCCTTTTAACATCTGATTGCCTCAAACCCAACTAACTGAGTTGCGTTGTTCGATACGCAAAGGGGAAGCCTACGGTTGCAAACAGCATCTCCCAGGGAGGGAAATATTTCTGATTCAGCAAATCATTTTGACCCATAAGTAACAAACTGTTATTGCTGCAAAGAGATGTTGCTCTCTTCAAAATCTGTGCAAAATCTGCTTTAGGTTGCTAGAGTTACTAAAATAATTTAAAAGGATTTTGCTGGCTTAGGGGAGAAAAAGGGCTGTGTTAAGTTTCCTGAATGGAATTTATTTTTTCAGTGCTAGCCTGATCTTTCTGGTCCACAAAGTCAATATTCTGACAGAAAGTAGTTCAGATTATAATCCAAATAACAGATCCCAAGAGGTGCTTCTACTCTTTAGTGAAGATATCAAGAGAAAAAAAAAGTACTGCATTTTATCACCATCTAAACTCACTTTCTACTTCTCCAGTGGAATTGTTGCCTAACAGACAGCTCTGTTAATACTCTATATAACTCTCCATTAAGAAAACATTAAAGACTTTGTACTCAATGCAAAAATGTACAATTCAAATAGTCATGCTGATTCTTGGACTAATTGAAAAGAATTCATCATCCACACTGAAAAAGAGGAAAAATGCCATACTTCAGTTCCTTCACATGCAGGATGATGCAATTTCCTGGGAGTTGCTTGGGTGTAGCAAGTGTCAGGATTTTGTCCTGGTGGGCTTCTGCTCTAATTCTAATGTGAGAAATTAATCCAAAACCCCGCTTAGTGAGGTTTGATGTGCAGTGTATCAAGCTCCTGAAACCACTAAATCTCTCAGTAAACTGTAACTCATTTGTTCCCTCATTTCCCCCTCACCTGGGTGCCCAGGACACAGTGGAGTGGGGTTCACTTGGTCACGCAGCCCCATTGTGGCTCCTATCATCGGGGTGTGCTGCACCTTGAAGGGGGCTATTGTCAGTGCCAGGAGGCAACTGGAGCTGCACAAAAGCCCAAACTTACATGATTAGCTCAGGATGGAGACCAGCTGAGAGCCACAAATGTCCTCTGCCCACCACCCCTGGGATGGCCAGTGCTGCCAACCACAGGAGCCATGCAGGGGCACGAAGGGAAGGCAGACTTCCCCTTGTCAGCGCAGGGATGAGTGCAGGTGGCAGGTCAGACTGGCTACAGAGGGGTGTCTGCTAGGACAGGTGCAAGAGGAGCCTGTGTTTGTATGCAGGTGAGGAGATGGGCCTGAATATAACAGCAACAGCTGGGATAAACTCAGTTTCTGAATGAAAAGAAATTAATTCTTGAACTCCTGCTCTGGGCAGGTAAAAACCCCTGTGGTTCTTAACATCTCAGTTACTCCAGTCATTTTAGTGGGAGTGCTCATATGTTAAAGAAATGCTCATCTTTAAGAACTTAGCCTGAATTAAAGGTTTAACTTGGTGCTGTTGAGAAGGGATAACATGGAGCTCTACTGCTTAGGTAACTGCATAGAGCGCGGCGGAGATGTTGTACCTCCAAAGGGCAAAAAGAATGGTCTGGAAAGGGCTCTTCATCCTGAAAAACTCTAAAGATCTCATAGGGAGTAAAATAGGGGATGTGGGCAAAAGCAGAAGGTGGGATGCAAAAGAAGGAGAGGAGAGGAAACAAAAAAGAGCACAACTGTTGAAGTGAGGAGTGAAAAGATGATGGAAAGTTTGAAAGGGAAGGCTGGAGAAATACTTTGCAGTCCTCCCCTCCGGGAGTTACAGTCAGTGATGTGGGCTTTTTATAAGCCTATGTTAGTATAACTTTCTTTTTTCCTTTTGTTTTTTTCCCCTTTTAAGTTCTATACCATGTTTGCATTTTCCCTCCTCCTCTCCCTTGCCATGGCTGTTCAAATCTAATTACCAGAGGTTCACTATATTCATTAGCTTCATTCCCTCAAAACCCTGGGCTGCATGTCATCTGGATCTGATTATGTATGGTGCATTTCATTTTCCCAACTATTCCCCTACCTGCTTTTAATCAGCATGAGATTTTTCATTTAAATGTCATTAGACTTTGGAG